CCCGGCCAGGCCCCGCCCCTGTCTGCCCGCCCGCCCCGGCCGCGGAGCTGTCTCTCGCTCCCGGGCCGCGCGCCCGAGCTGGCAAGAAGGAGCGGCGGCAGCGGCGGCGGCTTCGGGCATCGCGGCTTGGGGACGCCGGCGCTCCGCTGGACACGGCGTCCCCGAGAGCGCCCTCCGCGCGGACCTGCCTCCCGCGGTCCCGGGCGGCCCGGGAACGTCCCGGCGTTCCCCGAGGGCAAGCGTGTCCGCGCGGGGCGGGGGACCAGCGCGGGGCTGCAGCCTGTTGGAGCTCGGGGAGCGCGGGGTCCGGGGCTCCGGGGACCCTGCGCGGAGCCGCACGGCCAGGCCTCCTGCGCACCGCAGTTCTCTCCAACTCCCAGCCTCCGCCGCTTCGGGGCCCAGCGCCGCCGGAGGACCCTGTCCGGATCTGCGAAGGTAAGTGGACTTGACCATTCAGGGGTCTTCTGTCCCCAAACCACCGGCAGAGTTCGGGGAGCGGGAAGCGCAGGATGGGGGCGGCACGTTCGTAGGAAGCGTATTTAAAAAATGCAACAGGCGGGGCCGAGCAGGAAAACTCCTCGGGTTAACGTTTCCCACGGAGAGGAGACTTGTCCAGGACTGAAACTTGGGTAGGTTCTTCCCATCCGAAGACTCGCAGGGACTCCTTAAGTCTGGGTCTGAGCTCCCTCTGCTGGTTCCTTATGAGGATGGAAAACGAGGCTACAGGTGAGAGGTGGGAGCGGAACTGCCCTTCTTTGCTCCCACACATTGTCATGATTTCTCCTTTGAGGGAAGTGACTGGTCCCTGACAGGGACACCTTCTGATCCCATGAAAGCTAAACCCTCAGACGGAATCTAAAAAGGTCCTTGCAACTTTTGCTTTTCATCGCTGTTTTTTGTGCCTGAAACAACAAGAATCATAGCAGGACTCACTGGGTAAACTGCATTCGAATAAAAACATTGTATTTATTTTACATTTTAAGTTAAATCTATTGGGGTGACATTGCTTAATAAAACTATATAGGTTTCAAGTGCACAATTCTATGATACATCATTTATATATTGGCTGTGTGCCCACCACCCAAAGTCAAATCTCCTTCCCTTAGTCACCATACACTAGAACCCCTCTACCCCTCATTACCCCTCACCCCCTTAAAACATTTTAAATGGCTAAAGTCAGCCACAGTTAAAATAAATACCGTCGGCCAAAGTTATATCTTGTAGCTGCTTGTCATCTGCCACTGTTCTTTGTTATCCTAATGCGTGCATTTAAAAGTATAATAGTAATAAAAAAGAATCAATTGAATTAACTTAGATTGTATTTAATAACAGATTTATTGTGATTCCGAAATTTCTGTCCAGTACACGAATTGAGATATCAGTTTATATCCACTCCCAGCATACCTGTAGCCTCAGAGAATTTCTTTGTGTTTTTTTTTCCTTCCAGAAAGGAATGTCATGAAAAAGGAGCAGAAAAGAGCCGTCATTGTTGGTGAAAGGGGAGTTTTCTTTCCCCGCTGGTGGTTACTTCATGACTGGAAGGGATGTACCTAGGTGGCTGAAGAGATTAGATTTTTCTAGCTGCACAGATGAAGCTGATAAAAGAAGACATGAAAATGCTTCCTCTGGGTCATAATAGGCTGATAAGTAAGAAGGCCTGAAAAAGACAGATTTGAAATGAGGGCAGGAATTTTGAGATTTTTAAAACCAGGTAGGACTTTGGAAGCTTATTGAGGATGTTTTTCACCCAAAAACGGAGAAGAAAAAATTCTCAAAGCCAGAAGTGTAAAAAGTTGAGAAGAAAAACAACCGAGTCCACCCCAAGGATTTCAGACTTCGTCACTTTCTTTGGGTAGACACACACACAAGGGCATCACTCACGTTTGGTGATTTTATTCCCGGCGATGGTTTCCTATGCTAGGAATGACTTCATTTGGAGTTTGGAGTGATTTTTTCTCCTTTTTCTTTTTCTTTTTCTTTTTAAACAATGTGTGTTTTGACACTTCATGTTAAATTTATGCAAAGGAAGTAAATCCTAAAGTCATAGTATGTTTGAGTCTGTATATCACTGTTTGCTCTGTGATATGGAAAAACTAGAGGATTTAACATTCCTTGAAGTTTTATTGGAAGCAAAACTGTGTTAGAGACGCAGATATACAGTGTAAGTTTTTTCTTTTTGGCAATCGTATTTGCTTTGAAGGAGCCAACTATCAGCTGGATTTCACAGCATAAGCGATTTATAGTCTTTGTTTTATCAAGGCCTTAAATGGGTGTTTTATACTGAGCAGATGGGAACCACATTGAGCACTCTGTTTGACATGATCGCCTAAGGAAAGGAACTCCCTGATGGATCATGGCGTTAATGTTTACAGGACATTTCTTATTTTTAGCATTAGTGATGTTTGCTTTCTCAACTTTTGAGGAATCTGTAAGCAATTACTCTGACTGGGCAGTTTTTGCAGATGATATAGATCAGTTTAAGACACAGAAAGTGCAAGATTTCAGATCCAACCAAAAGCTGAAAAAAAGCATGCTTCATCCAAGTTTATATTTCGATGCGGGAGAAATCCAAGCAATGAGACAAAAGTCTCGCACAAGCCATTTGCATCTTTTCAGAGCTATCAGAAGTGCAGTGACAGTCATGCTGTCCAACCCAACATACTACCTACCTCCACCCAAGCATGCTGATTTTGCTGCCAAGTGGAATGAAATTTATGGTAACAATCTGCCTCCTTTAGCACTGTACTGTTTGCTATGCCCAGAAGACAAGGTTGCCTTTGAATTTGTCTTGGAATATATGGACAGGATGGTTGGCTACAAAGACTGGCTAGTTGAGAATGCACCAGGGGATGAGGTCCCAGTTGGCCATTCCTTAACAGGCTTTGCCACTGCCTTTGACTTTTTATATAACTTACTAGATGATCACCGAAGACAAAAATACCTGGAGAAAATATGGGTGATTACCGAGGAAATGTATGAATATTCCAAGGTCCGCTCATGGGGCAAACAACTTCTTCATAACCACCAAGCTACTAACATGATAGCACTGCTCACCGGGGCCTTGGTGACCGGGGTAGAAAGAGAATCCAAAGTAAATTTATGGAAACAAGTTGTAGTAGATGTGATGGAAAAGACCATGTTTCTGTTGAATCATATTGTCGATGGTTCTTTGGACGAAGGTGTGGCGTATGGGAGCTACACAGCTAAATCAGTCACACAGTACGTTTTTCTGGCCCAGCGCCATTTTAACATCAACAACTTGGATAATAACTGGTTAAAAATGCACTTTTGGTTCTATTACGCCACCCTTTTACCGGGCTTCCAAAGAACTGTGGGTATAGCAGATTCCAATTATAATTGGTTTTATGGTCCAGAGAGCCAGCTGGTTTTCTTGGATAAGTTCATCTTAAAGAATGGAGCTGGAAATTGGTTAGCTCAGCAAATTAGAAGGCACCGACCTAAAGATGGACCAATGGTCCCCTCCACTGCCCAGAGGTGGAGTACTCTTCACACTGAATACATCTGGTATGACCCCCAGCTCACCCCACAGCCTCCTGCTGAATATGGTACTGCAAAAATGCACACATTCCCTAACTGGGGTGTTGTTACTTATGGGGCTGGGTTGCCAAATACCCAGACCAATACCTTTGTGTCTTTTAAATCTGGGAAACTAGGCGGTCGAGCTGTGTATGACATAGTTCACTTTCAGCCATACTCCTGGATTGATGGGTGGAGAAGCTTTAACCCAGGACATGAGCATCCAGATCAGAACTCATTTACTTTTGCTCCCAATGGGCAAGTATTTGTTTCCGAAGCTCTCTATGGACCCAAGTTGAGCCACCTTAACAACGTATTGGTGTTTGCGCCATCACCCACGAGCCAGTGTAATAAGCCCTGGGAAGGTCAACTGGGAGAATGTGCACAGTGGCTCAAGTGGACCAGTGAGGAGGTTGGTGACGCAGCAGGGGAAATCATTACTGCCTCTCAACATGGGGAAATGATATTTGTGAGTGGGGAGGCAGTGTCTGCTTACTCTTCAGCAATGAAGCTGAAAAGCGTGTATCGCGCTTTGCTTCTCCTAAATTCTCAAACTTTGCTGGTTGTCGATCACATTGAGAAGCAAGATGATTCCCCAATAAAATCTGTCAGTGCCTTCTTTCATAACCTGGATATTGATTTTAAGTACATCCCATATAGGTTTATGAACAAGTATAATGGCGCCATGATGGACGTGTGGGATGCACACTACAAAATGTTTTGGTTTGATCACCATGGCAGTAGCCCCGTTGCTAGTATACAGGAAGCAGAGCAAGCTGCTGAATTTAAGAAACGGTGGACCCAGTTTGTTAATGTTACGTTTCAGATGGAATCCACAATCACAAGAATTGCATATGTCTTTCATGGGCCATATGTCAATGTTTCCAGCTGCAGATTTACTGATAATTCCAACTCTGGACTTCAGATTTCTCTCAACGTCAACAATACTGAACATGTTGTCTCCATTGTAACTGACTACTACAACCTGAACGCAAGATTCAATTACCTGGGATTTGGTGGCTTTGCCAATGTGGCCGATCAGGGCCAAATCACCCGATTTGGTTTGGGCTCTCAAGCAATAGTAAGGCCCATAAGACAGGATAAAGTTATTTTCCCCTTTGGATTTAAATTTAATATAGCAATTGGGTTGATTTTGTGCATTAGCTTGTTGATTTTAACTTTTCAGTGGCGGTTTTACCTTTCTTTTAGAAAGCTAATGCGATGGATCCTAATACTTGTTGTTGTCTTGTGGTTTATCGAGCTCCTGGACGTGTGGAGCACTTGCACTCAGCCCATCTGTGCGAAATGGGCAGGGACGGAGATGGAGGCCAGCACGAAGCCTGTGTCTTCCCAAGGGCACCACGTTGATCGTCCCGATGTTGTCATTACCTCACTTCCTGGTTCAGGAGCTGAAATTCTCAAACAACTATTTTTCAACAGTAGTGATTTTCTCTACATCAGGGTTCCCACAGCCTACATTGATATCCCTGAGACGGAATTTGAAATTGACTCCTTTGTAGACGCCTGCGAATGGAAGGCATCAGATATCCACAGTGTGCATTTCCGTCTACTCCGAGGCTGGCTGCAGTCTTTAGTCCAAGATACAAAACTGCATTTGCAAAACATCCATCTGCATGAATCCAGCAGGGGTAAACTGGCCCAATATTTTATAGTGAATAAGGACAAGAAAAGAAAATCGAAGAGGAGAGAGTCTTTGTCCGAACAAAGAAGTAGAATGAAAGGCGCCTTTGATAGAGATGCTGAATACATTAGGGCTTTGAGGAGACACCTGGTTTACTTCCCAAGCGCACGGCCTGTGCTCAGTCTAAGCAGTGGGAGCTGGACCCTAAAGCTTCATTTTTTTCAGGAAGTTTTGGGATCTTCGCTGAGGGCATTGTATGTAGTAAGGGACCCTCGGGCGTGGATTTATTCAATGCTGTACAGCAGCAAACCAAGTCTTTACTCTCTGAAGAATATACCAGAGCGCTTAGCTAAACTGTTTAAAGTAGAGGGAGGTAAAGGCAGATGTAGCTTAAATTCGGGCTATGCTCTGGAGTATGAATCATTAAGGAAAGAATTAGCAAAACCCAAGTCCAACGCAGTCTCCCTGTTGTCTCATTTGTGGTTGGCACACACAGCAGCAGCCCTGAGAATAAACGCAGATTTGCTACCTACCAGCTACCAGCTGATCAAGTTTGAAGATATTGTGCATTTCCCCCAGAAAACCACTGAAAGGATTTTTGCCTTCCTTGGCATCCCTTTGTCTCCTGCTAGTTTAAACCAAATATTGTTTGCCACTTCCACGAACCTTTTCAATCTTCCCTATGAAGGGGAAATATCACCAAGTAATACTAATGTTTGGAAACAAAACTTGCCTAGAGATAAAATTAAGCAGATTGAAAACATCTGCTGGACACTGATGGACCGTCTAGGATACCCAAAGTTTATGGACTGAGTGCTGCAGGTCAGCAGAAATTTGCACTAATACTTTCCAACCCAATTGTGGACATGAATTAGAAGAGTTTGTTTATTCTTGTACTGTGTGTGTGTGTGTGTGTGTGTGTGTGTGTGTGAGAGAGAGAGAGAGAGAGAGAGAGAGAGAAAAGAGAAGAGAATGTGTGTGTTCAGTTAATTACTTGCACAGAGAGATTGTTTTAAAAATAGACACCATATTTGGCAGAGCACAATTTAATTTTTATGTCACTACTTTCTTGCCTTGGTTTCTGAATTGTTTTCTGCTAAAGTGCTTCCACTACAGAGGTGCAGATGAAGTTCTATTGTGGTCAGGAAATACAGGAAGATTTTTAAAGTTTTTGTCTTAACTCTCTTCATCTACAACTGTGCTAATGTGTCCCGGAACCTCAAAGACTGCTCAAGGCCTTCGGTGGCTGTTTTACCCAAGCATCTCTTGCTTTTAAGATGGACTACAGAGGTTCCTTAGCTTTTTATAAAAGGTCTTCTAACATGTTTATCCTGCACTAGAAAATAAATCCTTTACTGTGTATAATGTTTAGTGATATCACTGGGGAAATGGTGGAAACTTCTGTCTGAACTATAGGGTTCCTTCTATAAAATACAGATGGACATACAGAAGGAATATAGTTTTTTGCAGGTCAGAAACAGAGCTAAACAGCCTCCTTAACGTTTTCTCCTTTGAAGTAATGGAATCAGTCTTTGCATAATCTGGGTGCCAAGGGCTGGTGGAGTATTTTGGACCTGCTTGCCTGTGTAAAACTCCTTTCTTTGTATTGCCTCCTTGAAGCCACAGCTGCTAGCATCACACCACTCCCATCCTGTCCCTTTTGTCACTGTCATACAGAATCAGTCGCAGTTACTGATGGCTAAACTCCCTGTATTTTCCAGGATTTCCCCCCCGATGATTAATTTTGCATTAAAGCCTAACACAGACTTAGAATGAAACTTCTTTTTGTGGAATTATCACCGTATGACTCAAAGGAAGCTGAGCCACCACGGGCTGCGTGTTTTTTTTTTTAGACTAGAAGCAGAGTTGGAAAACTGCCTGACTTGTCTCGCATCCTTTGAATGAGTTTACAGACTGCCAGTGTGGGCAAATGGGAGATGATGTCAGAGGCATCTGTTTCCTTTACCATCTGCATCTTATTAGAAATGTCGTCGTCATCGAATGCGGTTCATTCTCTTTTGGTAGACGCTGAAATCCAAATGCTGTGCCAGTAGAAGCCAGTGGAGTAATTACAATGTACTGGATGAAAACTATTAGGCAGTGTGGAGACTTGATGAAATCTCTGTACAGATTGCAGTCTTCTTCCTGATGTTGCAAACTGTCGTTTCCCCCAAGCTCTCTAACACTTGGGCGTCTGTTATTCTGACCTAGATAAAAGTGGTTCTTTCTCAGTACTTTGTTATTGTGACAAAATGTGCCTGCAGAGTGATAAAGCTGTGGATATGTTCCATTCCAGCTAAACCTCACTTGGCTGTCATTTCCCCCCATATAGTGTGAATGAATGCAGGCCACTCCTACTCTGCTTATATACTCGATTTTCTTCCCGGAGCTCCCATGACTTTTTCTCTACAATGTCAAAATGAATGAAAGTCATATTAACATAGGTTGAGAGGGCAGCTAAAGACCTGAATCTACACTGTTATTGCCAAGGAAGACAATAACCTTCCTGTTTGAGGGTTATCAACAAGCATGTAAAATTGCTACACAGATGTTAACAATATTTTCATAATTGGTCAGAGTCTCAGTGTTTGCTTTCAATTCCCAGGATGTGGGATCTCAAATGAGATCCAATAAAAAGGCTTTGGGTTGGCAGTAATATCAGGTCTGATCAAGGTAAGAATTAGACTTGTGTAGGTAACAAATAAGAAAATGGAAGCTATACCACTGTCTTTCTTTTAAAATTTTATAGAAATGTGCCCATGGGCAGAAGAGAGCCAGGTTCATTCAGTACGTGGAGGAAAGAAGGGGAAAATGAAAAAGAGTAGTTCTGTGAATGAGTAAGGGAACATGTTATTGATAGCTAATGAAAGTGACATGGTTAATAAAATGAGCTTCACAGTGTATCCTAACTTGCACCTCCTCCTCCCCCAGCAATGTCAAGGTGAATTTTCCTGTCCCTGTACTCACCCCCTCCTGCCCCAAGGGAAAGTTTGCTGAAAGAGAAGACCTATTTGCAGATGCTCCTGTGAGGAATATTCTATGTGGAGAGGCACTGAACATACATGCATATGTTCATGCTTGGGGACCCCTGCCTTGTCATCTCAATACCTAAGGTGACTGACTCTCCCCAAACACCCAGGTCCTACACTCTTAGGATGTTACCTAGGAAAAAATTTGACCAGATTCTACACTTACTCTTATCATCTTAAAAATAAAGCAGCAATAATCACTATTGTGACGCTTCCAAAAGAAACAAAATGTCCTCTGTAAATTCGATCCCTTCATTAACTTCCCCAAACTTCAGCCCAGTTGCGATAAAAGCCTTTATTAAAATAAGAGCATTTAAGTCTTGAAACTTTGAAAGAATGTGTTTTGCTGGCACAAGTAACATAAGTAAATATAGTGATAATAATCTGTTTTTCCAAAGTGGAATAATGTTAATTACTCATTTTGGATGGAATGTGCTCTACCCAGAGTTGAATTTACTGTAATAAAAATTCCAGGAAGGATAGGAAATGGGAGAATCTGTTCAGGAGAAAAAAAAGATAAATCTATGAATGCAGTTTAATTTATATAAACCTGGAGAGGCACAAGTTTTAAGCAGATGACACAAGGATGCATACATATTAGGCCTAGACCCCATATATTGGACATTTGATTGACATTTTTAGACAGGAAGAAGTAGTAAATGCCTGGCAAGAATGGGATGGTTATGTCAAACTCCCAGGCATGGAGGAGGACTGGCCACATCACCCGCAGTGAATATATTCAAGAACTACTCCACACACGCAAGTATGTTTTGTTTCTTCTGTGGACATGCTACCCTCTTTTGGCCACTTGTAATTTATGTCATTTATCAGTAGAGTTTGCGGTGCATTATCATAGATCCCAGACAGTCCTGATATATAAAGAATATCACATTCAATTTTCTATGAGTAAATATTAACAATGATTTAAAAATATTGCTATGTTTGATCATAAACTAGTTCATTGGAACTACATGTATAACAAGACTCCTCTCTTACTAAATAAAAAGCTAAAAGCAAGTTGGCCATGGTTGGGATAATTTGTAATAGCCCTCTTCTTTAGGTCTTGGTTAACTGTTAGGATTCTGTATGGAGCTGAGAAGGCAGACAATGGGAAATGCAGTTGAATATTGACATATAGTCCTACACTTTCAGCCACTAAACTTGCACCGTTCAGTAGCCTTGCCTCTACTCTTCTAATTTAATTCCAAGTTCTGTCTCTGACTTGCACAGTCTTCTGCATACATCTTCCCAACTTACTAAATGGCAAGAACATCCCTATACTATGTATTTGTGCTCTCCATCTGTCCCTCCTGCCACTGGTAAGATCTTCCAGTATGATCTCTCTAAAAAGAGGTTCTTGCAGGTTGCTTGAGACATTCTAAGTTAGTGATGCATGAGGTTGGCACAGGGAAGACTTTTTTTTTTAAAGGGATGTAGCATCTATCATGAATTAATCTCAATATGTGCTACAAATTGAACCATAAGTTTTCATGTATCTCATTACAATCCTCACAAGAACTCTCTATGGTATTTATTTACAGATAAATGTGAAATCCATATTATCTCTATGGGGAATATGCTTTGTGAAATAATGTTGAGTGAATTTACAATTAATTCATTGTTTACCATACTTTTTTGGCTATGTCCAGGTATTGATTAGCATGAGGGAAGAACACAAAAATTGGTTGACTATGACCCTACTCTGTAGGGACTTGGCAATCTCTAGAGACTTCAGAATTTATCAAGGAGAAGAGAGGCAGGCAGGTAGAGATGACCACTGGATGAAAGGCATCAGAAAGTCTTATCTGTCCTGTAGTTGACACGGTTTATTTGTTCCTGAAACTGCGGTTAGGAGGGAAGAGTAGTTTAAAGAGGGAGTTTTTGGTAAATTTGGATAGAGATCACCACCTATTCTTATTTAGGTTTTGACTCTATAGTTGTCATGGCACCTGCCATTGATTTCCAAAGAGACATGCAAATAGAACAGAAGCACTGACGCTTGCCCTCTTCCTATTGCCTCTCACTCAACTTCCCCAGCACATTTACTACAAAGAAATCCGGTCCGTCACTGAATACCAATGTCCCGAAGAGCACATGGTCTGCGGAGTTCATGCTGGTTATTGCTGGTAATGGCAGGAAGAATAACTCAATGTATTTCATCTTATTCACTTTAATGCCATACATACCAAAGGATTATCTCAAAAATTAATCTATATACAATAATGCTTTCCTGTTAATTCACATGTCATTCACACATATAATTTGGGTTGGACTAAAAGTACCTTATCCTCTGCTTGGTGCTTTGTACGTTTGGATGCTTTCTGTCTTCCATGGCTGTAGGTGAGGACCCAGGAGCAAATCCCAGAGCCTCCAGCCAGAAACTCAGCCTCCCAATGAAAAGTACACCTCTGCATTGGGACCAAGCGCCACAGACCTGTGAGAGTGCGGCTCATACTCTTGATGGACAGGGATTCCTTTGCTATGGTTGGGGTTTTTTTGGATATTGCTGTCCACACCCTGCTATGGTTCACTGTATGTGAATTAGAAAACACTATTGTGTTGATCCTGGAGTATGCCAGCTCTGCTGCACCTGTGTATCAAACCGTAGGAATTATGGATATGCAAAATAGGTTCCTCTGTGATATTGATCAGTTTCTGTGGTCAGAGGTGGGACTTAGCATCAGAATTCATATACTCACACATTCTATAATCTGGTGCCAGACATCAAAGATCTGAAAGATATTAAAATGAACACAAGTATACATGTCATCTACTCTGAGAAATGCACAATTAATTCTGACTTTCCATGATCACATTCTCCTGTTTCCACCAACTACCCTAGAGGTGAATGTTTATCCTGCATTTTCTGTTTACCATTCCCTGTATTTTCTTTATAGCTCCACCACACACATCTCTTCTTATCAACATATTGTAGATTTTTTCATGTTTTGCAACTTTTTGTAAACAGTAACATATTGCATATATTACTGTGCAACTTGCTTTGCTTTGCCCAAAATTTTGTCTAATGCATCTTGATTTTGTAGGTGACCACTTATTTTCAACATGGTAGTGTTCCATTATATGTATATGCCACTTTCTGAATATTCCATACTTTATCTTTCTTTTATCCTGTTGGTGGATTTGGAGAATATTTTTGCAAATTCCAACATTGTATAAAAAATTCTCAAGTATGTTCTATATATAAGAATGCTGTGTTTTGTTTGTACCCAGAACCTTCCCACCCACTCCCACCCCAGCCTCCTCCCTAGTATATGTATCCAGGGCTGAAAGCTCACCCTTGGCTATTCTGGACAATGCCAAGGTATTATTTCTCAGATTGTCTGTACCAATTGACACTCCAGCCATCATAGGAAAGTTTCTGTTGTTCCCAATGTTCTCTTGTACTTGACAGTTTCAGAGTTTTTAATACTTTCCTGTCTGGGTATCACATTTTTGTTTTCATTTGCACTTTCTGACTATTAATGACATATAGCCTATATGCACCTGAGCATGAGCACATGCACATGTATAGTCGTCCTTATTGTTTTCCATCTGTAGTTTGTAAAATGAAGTCCATGTTCGTGTCTTTTATCCATTTTTCGAGTTCGTTTTTTCTTATTAATTCATTGAAGTTTGTCATATATTAATAATAGAATTTTTGTTATATGTGCTATGAATAACTTCTTTGCTTCTATTTTCATGATCTTTGTACTATGATTTGTGTAATCTATTTTGCTACACAGGTGTCTTTGATTTGAATGTAAGCAAATATGTCAGTGTTTTCTTTTATTATTTATAGTTTTTTGTCTTATTAAAGAATCTTTTCCAGAGTCTTGGCACTAAAAATACCCTCCTCTATTTTCCTCTAAACCTTTTAATACTTTTATTGGATGTCTATTGCTGTAGAACAAAATTACCACAAACTTAATGGCTTAGAACAACACACTGATTATGTCAGAGTGTTGGCTGGCACTGGGATCTCATCTGACACTCACCTGGAGAAGCATCTGCTTCCCAGCTCCGTGGTTATTGGCAAGATCCAGTTCCTTGTGGGTTCTTGGACTAAAAGCCTTAGTTCTTTTCTAGCTTTTGGCTGAAGACCACCCTTAGTCATGACCACATGGGCTTCTTCGTATGACAGTTTACTTCATGAAAGCCAGGATGGAGCGAATCAGTAGAGAAACTACTAACAATGTAGCTCAATTGGAAGTGACACCCAATCAGCGTTGGTTAGTAACAAGTCACAGGTCCTCACACCCAAGGGATTACATAAGATCACGAATACCAGGTGTAACAATGGGGGTCATTTTAGAGCTTATCTGCCATAGATTTTTGTCTTTTAATATTTCAGGATTTAATCTGCTTTATGTTAATTATTGTGTTGATTAGAATTTTTTTTTCCTTATGAATAAACCTGTTATCCTAGACTGAAAAGATTGAAACCCCTTTCTTTCCCACTACCTTTCGATGCTATCACTACAACATACCAGGTTGTCTATTTTGTATGAGTCTATTTCTCAGCTCTCTACTTTATTCCACTAGCAAATTTAATAAAGCCACTGACAATACCACACTGTCTTAATTACTATAGTCATTTTGTTAGCCTTGAAATCTGGCAAGGCAAGTCTTTTTATTTTCTTTTTCCTCATTTTGTCTTAGATTTTCTTAAGCCTTTATTCTTCCATGTGCATTTTAGACTTAGTTTGCACAGTTTCTCAAAGCTTACAAACAAGGTACATGTTCATTGTAAATGCATTAAATCAACTTTGAGAGAATTGACCTCTTTACATTAATTAATCTCTGTTCACGAGCATGGTATGTCTCTCCTATATGATACTTATTAATCTTTTGATAGATGTCTCTGAGCACTTTATATTGTTATTACAGTAGATGACATTTGTTAATTATATGTTCAATTATATATAGAAAAAGAATTGATTTTTGTGTATTTGTATTATATCAGGGACCTTATTAATTCTTCTTACTAATTTAATAATTGACTTGTAAATTCTTTTGAAATAAATGGTTTTGCAATTGTAATTTATGAGAATTATGGTATTTCCTTCCTCTTACTCGTAACTTTTTAATGTTCTTACTGCATTTGTTAGGACCTCCTGTAAAATACTGAAAGGATTTGGTGATAGTGAGTGTTCTTGTACTGTTCCTATGTGAATGCAGTGCTTCCAGATATCACCACTGAGCAATGGATGCGGTGTGTATTTCATAGACTCACCTTATCTGGATGTGGTACTCCTTTCTAGTCCTGCTTTGGTAAATGACTTCTTATCATCAATGTATAATAGGATTTATTCAGTGCTTCTGATGCATTTATTGTGATAGTTGTATGTTTATTTGCCTATATCTGTTAGTGTGAAAATATCTGTATTATATGAAAAATATATTTTATTTTGAGATTAAATCAAACTTGGTTGGCTATGATAAATCAGCCTGAGAGTGATTCATTATATTTGTGTATGTAGCTGGATTGAGTTTGTTAATAATCAATTGAAGCTGTTTACATCAACCTTTGTAATTTTCTCATATGTACTGATCTAATTTTGAAGTCAACATTTCTGTCACATAAAATAAGTTGAAGATGTTCTATTTTTCTATTCTGTAGATGTGTTTGTGTAAGATTGGAGTGATCTAATACTAGAATGTTTGTTACAACTCATTTTTAAACCAGCTGACTGTTGTGTTTTCTGTGTGAGCATTTTGACTATGCGTACAATTTGATGGTGATAGGCTTTTTTATTTAGCTCGCCTATTTAATTTGAAGCCTATTTTTGGCAAGTTATGTTTTTAAAGAATTTGTTCTTTTTAAATTTTCCACATTTATTGACCTAAATTTTCTCAAAAGGCATTCTGCTGCCCCTCTTATTTCCCATCTTCCCACCCGCTGGTTCATCGCTGCTTTGTTCAGCTGTGTCCATATGGGTGTGAAAGAAATGGGAAGCTGGATTGACCAGATGGTTGTTGTTTGATTGTTTGATTGTGAGATGACAGAAGAAAAGAGTGTGAGGAGAGTTGTTTGCAGGTACTCAGTACAGAGAGAAAAGAGGCTCATGAGAAACCCAGGAGACACTGTTGTAAAGGATTTAGATTCTAGTGGCACCAAAGACTGTTGGAGTGGACATCCTCCCTGGCAAGAATATGGGAAGGAAGCAATGCTCAAAGAATATGACCCATGGATTTGAGATCATTGAGGCATTGAAATTATTGCTAATAAATCTAGGGCAGCAACTCTAAAATTCTTTTGGGAACACTTTGTACTCTTAAAAATTATTGAGTGCTCACAAACCTTTTTGCTTTATATGCATGAAGCCAATATTTAATATATTCTACCTCAGAACTGAGGGTTTTTAAATATTCATTTATAGGTTTATTTTTAAAATGACACCAATAAAGCCATGATAGCATGATATGCCATAGCATTATTATCTGTTAAAAATGACTGTATTTTTCAAAAGCAAAACAGTTGTGAAAGAGTGTCACCATTTTACATTTTTACAAATGATCTTAAATGTTTGGCTGTTAGACTACACCTGGACTTTCATATCTGCTTCTGGATCACATAAGGTGCTTAGCTTCTGGAAAATCTGAGAATTGGGGGGTGGCGGGGGGGGAGAGTTAAAATAACATTTTTTTGCAATACTATGAAAATAGTTTCATACACCCTGTGAAAGTGTCTCAGCCCCCCCCTGCCCCCCACATGAATGGAGCATAGATTGAGGGTCACTGGCTAGCACCTGATACAGGAAGTGAGTCAATAAAGACATCTGGTTATTGGAAGGATCACCCATGTGTGATGTGATCAAAAGATATATCTAGTATAATCGTGAGGTTAAAAGAGCATTGAAAATAATTATTTAAACTATATATTAATTCTGGAATTGTTGCAAGCAAACTGGGACATTGGATGGATATTGAGATTACAAATGATAATGGCAGAAGTGGAGAAAAACAGTGAACCAGGAGATGAAACCCTTAAGAATAAGTGAAGTGGAGAAGGACTACACACAGGTGGATGATGAAGGAATGGCATAGTCTAGTGGCCAGTGTCAGTGCTGGTTACTTTTTGTGAGTGGGAATGACAATTATCTAGAAACTGAAAAAGAAGCCAAAGGACACCTACTCCACCTTGAAAACCAATTCAAAGTACAAATGCTATTAATTTCCTTTTATTTTATACCTTAAACTCCAAATTATTTCTCCCTAAAATCTGTCCTACCTCTACTAATAAACTGGGGGGACAAAGAAATCCAGGAAAGAAAATAAGAAGTCTAAAATTCCCTGGGGCTAAATCAAAAGCTTTTAGGACAACTTCCAAACATAATCTGATGTGGCCAAAATGTGCTTCTCACTGGTATAAAGTGTCACTATAGATGACTAGTCCTGCCCAACTCAACAAATGACACTTGTCTACAGGGGCTAGAATCCCATGCTTATACTATTTCTGTGCAGGTCACATTGGTGACCCATACACAAAGAGCCAGTTCATTTTAGGCCATCCTTTTTCCCCCCCTTAATTTTATTCTCAAAAGCACAACCTACTAGACCATTGTTATTATGTCTAGAAAAGTGATCTATATTAGGTACATATTAAGCACAAACCACCCATCCCCACCCCCTGAAAAACCTATTAGTTACTTCTGCTGAACCTGAATTAGCAGCCTGAAACTCCCTCTCAAGGCAATTTTATTTCAGGTATTTTCTCATCCTTTTTTAAAAAGATATATTTTTATTGATTTCCTAGAAGAAGGGAAGGGAAGGGAAAGGGAGATAGAAACATCAATGATGAGAGAGAATCATTGAGAGGCTGCCTCCTGCAGGCCCCCCACTGGGGATCATGCCCTGACCAGGAATCAAACCTGGGACCCTTCAGTCCGCAGGCCTACACTCTATCCACTGAGCCAAACCGGCCAGGGCCTCATCCTTTTTGCACACATATTGCTTGCAGGGTCATGCTGAACCAACTTTCAAGGCCTCTCTACTTTCAAATGTTGAAGAAGAGGGAGGGGCTATGCGTCACTTAACTTTCACAAATGTCCTGGGCTCACTGTGTCCAGCATACTAGTATATCTTAAGCCAATAGGCACCCACTTATGTTAACCTTAGGTTATGTTAACATTGTTTCTTTTTTTTGTTTGTCTACACATTAGGGAGTAGAAAGTAGCTTCTGTATAAAGAACAATTCAAAAGTCAAAAAATACAATGATCAAAAAATATAAACACTATCAATCTCATTATTAATCATATAAATTCAAACAAACAGAAAATCAGTATTGTATCTTAGTTTACAAACCAACAAAAAAGAAAACATATTGGTAAATATAGCAAAAAGTAAATAAATGACTATAGCTTTGGTAATATAAGTGTACTCTATAAAAGCAATTTGGATATTTACGAGATATTTTTAAAATCCTGTTTTTCACCACCAAAGATTTCCTTTGGCCCAGAATTTCTATTTCAAACATCTTGCCCACTAGGAAAAAAAAAAAGAAAAATGTAGGAAGATGTACATGTAAGTATGTTCATTATGGCATGAATTATAATATCAAGACAAAAAACTTCTAGCCCAGCTGGCATGGCTCAGTGGTTGAGTGTTGACCTATGAACCAGGAGGTCATGGTTCGATTCCCTATTCCCGGTCAGGGCACATGCCTAGGTTACAGGATTTATCTATTCAATTAATCTAAAACATAAATTTTAGAGGAAATTATTTAGAGGTTTGATAATTAGACTTATTTTGAGGGTTTTCTTTTTATAAATTATAGAGGTAGGAACACATTTAATTTCTTTCTCCCTTCTTTCAATGACCACTTATGAAATGACAATTATGGCTAAAGTGAACAAGTAATAAGGAAAGTGATCCAGATTATTCCAGGAAACATCTAGAAAATTAAAATGGCCAGAAAACAACCCAATCTAATCCTCTTAGCCCATCCAATGGTCAAAAGTAAGCAAAGTAAGCACCAGCACCAAATAGACAATGAGCTGGGTTGTGGTTATTGTCTAAGACATATGTGCTGTAAAGAAAAGAGGACGTAGTATATCAGAATTACAGTTTTCAACCACTGTCGCTCTGGACGTACTATTCCACATTCTGTTCTTAGGATAGGATTCTCCTACTGTCCTCACTTCCCATATAGAATGGATGGCAATGACAATGAATGATGGCAGTGAATTCTCCTCAGGGGTAGCTTGTTTACTTCTGAGTGCACTATGTGAGCTGCTTTTAAGAGGGGTCCATTACAACAGACCCATACATGGCTAGGCCAAAGGGCTTTTAGGCTCTTAGATATTTTTTATCCTTTTCTTATTAGTCACTATTTGACCATAGGATGTTTAGAAGTGTGTGTTAAGTTTTCAAATATTTAGAATTTTCCTCTCTAGCCTCTTATTGAATTTATTATTTAATTTCATTGTGGTTGGAGAGGATTCACTAGGGACTCGTTTATGCCTAAAATATGATCTATCTTGATAAATGTACTCTGTGAATTTGGAAAGACCTAATATGTTAATACTGTTAGGTGAAATTGTCAATTAGGTAAAGTTAGCTCATAATATGTATATTATTACTAATTTCTCTTCAGTCTAGAGGACTTGCTTAAAATTTCTTGTAGTACAGATGTACTGACAAAGCATTCTCTCTCTCTCTCACTCTGTCATTGGATAATATTTTTATTTTGCTTTAATTTTACTGGATATAAAAATCTAGATTGAAAATATTCTTGGCTTTTGAAATGTTATTATAATATCTTCTGGATTCTATTGTTTTTTATGAAAGGTCATCAGGTATTCATATCATTGCTGACATTTACTTTTAAAGTGTTGGTGTTTTGTTTTGTTTTTAAATCTCTACTTTGGAGATGTTCTCTTTAAGCTTAATTGTCAACAGTTTGGTTGTGATGTGTCTACGGGTTGTTTTCTTTGTATTTTTTCTGCTTAAGATTGATGAAGTTCTTAAGTCTGTAAATGTATGCTTTTTACCAAATTAAGGAAAATTCTGTCCATTAATTCTTCAAATGTAAGTTTCCTCCTATTCTCCCAGAATTAAGTTTACAGGGATGTTTTTTACCCTTGTGTTTTAGAAGGTTGACTTGATGTAACCCAAACTTCAAACTCTGCTTTCCTGTTGTCATCAGCAGATGAAATGTGTCTTTCCTTCTTTTTGGTGCCTGGAGTCTGCTGCACGCTATCCTACTTCCTGGAGCTGCCAGAAATTTGACCAGACTTTATCTGCAGAATTCCATCCTGCTTTTCTATGGTTTCCTTTTCTGTGGTTTTCCCTGCTCTGATTTTCTAACATTAGTGTGGCCATGATGGTGTTCTTGTTCTTCAAGTGTGTGTGTTTATAGCTAAGTTTTAGACACTAAGACCAATTTGCTTAGAGGCACATCAGAAATTCCAAGATAAAATAATATTTACCTTCTTAATCTG